TGCTGCTGCTGCTGCATCCAGTGCTGTGGCTGGCATCCCTGGTTAGGCTGGATTCCATCCTTTAAGGGCAAGCAGAACAAAATGTCTCTCCTTGTCCTGAAGTAGGCTGCAATCATCAACGTGATTTGCCTAGATTTAAAATTTAGGTGTTTGCCCAAGAGCCTCTGTGGCTGAGAAGTTGAGGCTCATGTGGGAGGGACTGTTCCCAAGGCTGATATGCAAAGCTTGGATGAAAGCCTGGGAGTCCTTGCTCTCTGCCAGGCTTTGATGCCCAGACTCCTTGCCTGTAATCTGCCATCTATGCAGACAATATCAGAGCTATCAAATAATTCCACCACAATGTGAACCTTGGGAAAAAAAAAAAAAGAAAAAAGAAAGAGTCTGCTAGGAAAAGTACACAGAAATGTCCTTGGATAAAAGTGAAAAATTGGATCAAGTCAAATGCATTATGATTTTTGCTTACCAGGTTAAGCTTACACAGACTTTGGACTGGGAAAACATTTTGTATTGGCACAGTGAAACCATTACAGGACATACCAGAGTTACCAGGAAACAGCAGGGTTTGCAGGCTGCTGTTACAGGTGAAACTTGGATCCTTCCATCAATTCCTATCTGGTGTTTTCAAGGCTTTGAGGCACTGCTGGAGATGGGCTGGTATTTTTTGATTTCTGTTTCCAGCCTATTAGGAAAGAGCCTGCTAAATATTTGATATTTACAAGCTGTGCTGCTGAAATGCCAGAGGCATCTGAAGAATCCAGCCCAGTTCTCACACCTCTCCTGCCCCAGCACATGCTGACAGACGTGTGGATGCTCTGCTTCCATCCCTAGGTAAAGGACAAACGATCCCTGTGTGTGGTGTGGGAGGAGACTCTGCTATCTGCTATGATTCACTCTGGTAAATAACCTTCTCGAGGGCTTCTCTTGTTTATAGCAACAGCCTCAAATGCTGAAGTTTACAGACACTTTAATCCTTGCTGTTCTCACACATATTTACTTTGCAGTTTTATCAGAGACATCTCTTGAAAACCTCAGTGTTTTTATAATTAATTGAATAATGTGACTGATGTTAAAAATAAATGGATTTGGAATCATGCCCAGCGAGCTGCTGAGCAGTGTGTAGTGTAGCAACCAGAGCTGCAGTCTCAGGGATGTGTGTATTTTCCTAACAAACCCAGTCTCATGACTGAGAGATTAAATCTTTATTAGTTCAAAATTCACCCTGTTGCTTTTGCTGTGTTTATGCTGCATAATTGTTTCTGGAGAAATTCACATGGTTTAAAGGGACAGTGCTCCTGTTTACAGAGGGGATGGGTTGGTCTGAGCCTCCCACAGAGGGAATGTGGGTGTAGGGTATCTTCATCCATCCACCATCCTTCTGGCTTAATACTATTTTCTGCTCCAGGTGCAATCCATGGGGCCATGTGTGTGTGACCAAGGTGCTTTGATACACATGGATTCTGCTCATCCCAGACTCACATCCCATGGATTTCCCTATGGCTGTGCCCACCTCACCTCTGCTCCAGGAGCCCCAGGCACATCCCTGCCCTGTGCTCTTCCTCCCCCAAGCCTTTCCTGAGGCCGCTCCCCAGTGCCGCCACCACTTCCTCAACTTTTGCTGGCTCAGGGCACTGTCTTATCAGTCTGGGATATTTTTATCAGTCTGTGCTGTGCAGTTAAATCTGGGCCTCACCTCTGCTCTCCTGGAGAGGTGTGCCCGGCTGGCCAGGGCTGGGAGTGCTGTGCTCTGAGGGTGAATATCAGACACACCTTGTCTTGCCTCCTCTCTGCTCTGAGGACACAGATAAAGCAGCAGTGGAGAAGCAAGGTGAGATAAATGCAGGAGGGACAAAACTCACTGAGGTGAAGTGAGGTAGATCCTGTAATGCATTTGGTAAGCCTTCAAATCCTATCTCTTATCCCAAGGGAATCCCAGATGCACAAGCCCTGC